TAAAGTCAGAAAGACAAGTTACCAGCCAGGATAGCTCCAGAGAAGAAAGTGAGACTGGTGACCTTGCGCAGCCCTCCCTCACTCAAATCCAATTCATTTGCATGTCATGGCATCACCTCCCTGATGTCATGGTCCTCAACGAGAGGCAATAGGTCAGGTGAGGGATAGAAGAATTTCTGCTCTAGCCCACAGGCTACTGGGTATTGACTTTGCCCTTGGTAGTTTTCCAAATTGAGGGCTTTGAGGAGAGGCAGCACAGTATCCTCAAAAACTCCCTAGAAGAAGTAAGTGAAAGGTCCTCCCTTCCTACCAGGCCTAACAGTCTTATCTGCCCCCTTAGAGGAATATTATGGTTATAAAAATGACTAAGCCAGAAAGGGCCTCACCCACACCTATGTATTTTTGTCGGGGGCAAGGAGGAGGTGGGTTCCCAGATCTATGATTTCTTCTGTATGATGAGCTCCCAGTAAGTAAAGTCCCCCTACAAATGCATATCAGTAATTATTCTGCAACTTGACTCTTAGAAAGTTGCCTAAGTCACCAAGAGGTTAAATAACTTGCCCAGAACCAATAGGATGTATCAGAATAGGACTTGAATACAGGTCATCCTGACTTCACAGATAGCCTTCTATCTACTCTCCCACATTGCCTCACTCATCTAGGTCTGTGGGGAACCCTCCTCATTTCACCTTTTCCAATTCTAAGAGCTCTTTTCTATCAGAGGAACTAACTAGGGGGTTCCCAAGTGGTAATCAAGTCCCCAGAAGATCCCACCATCATGGGGAGGAGGGAAGAGCATGCTTCTTTTCCTCCTCATGATCAGATTAATTTCCTCCCAGAATTCTCTCTCTTTCTCCCTCCCTCTCCCTCTCTTTCTCTTTCTCCTCCTCTCCTCTTCCTCTCTTTCTCTCCCCCCTCTTTATCTCTCTCTTCTACCTCCCTCCTTCCTCTCTTTTTTCTCTCTCCAACTCTCTCTATCTCTCCCTCTCTCTGTCTTTGTCTTTCCCTCTTGCTCTCTTTCTCTCCCTCTCTCTATCTCCTTCCTCCCCCTTCTGACCAGAGATAGGAGCCCATTTCTACGTAAACACATTTCTTTCTAACTTAGATATTTGATTCATTTGTTCACTCAAGTATTGAACAAGTTTTTAGTACACACCCACTACATACAAAGCATACTATGAGCTGAGGGAGGAACCTAATAAATATCAAATATGATTCCCTCCTTAAAGAAAAAGCTCAACTTTGTTTAATGCTTTAAAGTTGACAAAGCACCTTTCCCACACCAAACCTGTGAGATAGTAGATGTGATAGTGAGATTACAGATGCGGTTGCCCAAGTAAAATATGAGCATTTGTGTGACTTGCCTGGATAAGAGAGGAAGTAGGGGAGACAGTCGTCCCTATCTGGCAGAAAGCATAGCATGAAGATGAGACAATCAGTGGTCTTAAGTATCTTAAGAGACCACTTCTGCAAGATTTGCAAGTTTGCACCTAACTGTAGATGTATTTTTGATTAACATAAAACAAATCAAACAGGCTCTTTTACTTCTAACACAGTACTGTACAAGTCATTTAATCTTCATTTTGCCTGTAAAGACACTGAGGCCCTAAAAGACTGAGTGACTTGCCAAAGTTCATACAGCCAGGAAGTGATGGTTTCTAAGCCAATCACCTAAATCCAAATCCAGGGCTCCTTTACTAGGTCAGAGAAGGATTAAAAAACAGCTTATCTAGCCCCGGCTAGCTGATACCTGAAACTGCGCTTTCTACACAAAGTCCGCAAACCTCAGTCCTTGACCCCTGTCTTACATGCTTGCACGGTCATATGGAGAGTATACTTAGTAAAGGCACATACAGAGCTAAAAGGTTAGCAGGTTCATCTCCAGAAAACAGCAGATGGCCATGCTGGCCTTTTCCCCACAGTCACAGCCTAAGTTGATTTTTACAAAATTTTGTTTATTTCCGTGTGGATCAATCAATAAGCATTTATTAAGTGCCAAGCACTGGACTAGGAACTGGGGATACAAATACAGAAATGAAATAATCTCTGCCTCCAAGGAAATTATATTCTATTGCAGGAGGAGGGAAGGGTAGAAAATATATGCATATGTAGATAAATACAAATATAAACAAAAAATATATTTTTACGTGACTTCATATGTATAATGAATATTGTATTTCTTGCCTTCTGGATGGGACGAATGGGGGAGTAGAGGAAAGGAGAGAATTTGGAAAATAAATGTTAAAAAATTAAAAGCAAAAAATATCTGTATATATGTGTATATATATATATGCACTTATATGTATGTTTGTGTATATATACTTATATGTGTGTGTGTGTGTGTGTGTGTGTGTGTGTGTGTGTGTGTGTGTGTGTGTGTATACACACACAGGGCAACTAGGTGGCACAGTGGATAGAACTCTGGCCTTGGAATCAGAAAGACTCATCTTCATGAGTTCAACTCTGGCTTCAGATATTTACTATCTGTATGACTCTAAGTAAGTCACTTAACCCTGGTTGCCACAGTTCCTCATCTGTAAAATGAGCTGGAGAAGGAAATGGCAAACCACTCCAGTATCTTTGCCGAGAAAACCCCAAATGGGGTCGCAAAGAGCTGGACGTGACTGAAACAACTCAACAACAATTTATAGATACAGTTCTATCTCTCTCTGTCTCTGTCTCTGTCTCTCTCTCTCTCTCTCTCTCTCTCTCTCTCTCTCTCTCTCTCTCTCTGTCTCACCATTATATATGCTTTAAAGTACAGCTGCCAGATCGGGCTTTTTTTTAGTATTTTTGAAAGGCTTTTTTTTTCCTATAGGGTGATCAAGGTTTACCAGGAGAAATAGCAGTAACTGGACAAAAAAGGATTCAAGGAATCCATCAGAAGGTATAGAATCCTAGTGGTTACATTAGAGTCACTCTGGAAGACACCTAGGCTCATTGGGGGGAAGAACAACGTCTCGGGGTGGAGGGGTTTATTTATTAACAATGACCTCAGATTTGCCAGATAAAGCTTCATCAAGTAGTATTGATGAAGAAAAGATAGATACTCCTGCCTTCATATAGAAAATGGAAACCAACTTTCTTTACTATAACAGGTGTGTGATTTTGAAAGTTGGCCAGGGGGTGTCACTATTGTTCCAGGGAATTAGCCAGAACACACAATAAATATTCAGAAGCCTGGGAGTAAATTGGGGGCCTGGGGATTTTTAAATGAATTTAACTCTGAACATAAGGTATCATATCAGAAATTCCATTAAATGAGCTAGCCCTATGATACCGCAGAGCTTCCCCAGAAAAATTAAGAGAGAAGTGATAGAGTGAGGTCATTTCACTCCAGCTCTAACACCCACGGAATTAAGAGAGAGAGGGAAGTTACAGGCCTTCTTGTCCAACCTGTACCTAAACAGGAATCCCCTGTAAAAGACCACACTGTGATTATCAGAAGGGCTGCTCAGCATTTATTTCTCATAGTTGTGCACCTGTGGAATTCCTTCTTTCTTCAGAGCAAGGCAAGAATGAACATCAATGACATTTATACAGGTACAGAGCCAAGGGAGCCATGTCAGGGAGGGGAAGTTAGCAGCTTTAGTTACATTAGGAGCAATTAGATACTTCAAAGACACATAAAATAATCATTTCAGCGTGCACAGTTCTGGGAAACTGAGGAAGAGGAGAGAGTTTTGGGATGAGATAATAGATGCAGTTGCCCAAGTAAAATATGAGCATTTGTGTGGCTTGCCTGTATAAGGGAAGAAGTAGGGAAGACAGTCGTCCCTATCTGGCAGAAAGCATAGCGTGAAGATGGGACAGTCAGTGGTCTTAAGAGACCATTTCTGCGAGATTTGCAGGTTTGCACCTAACTGTAGATGTATATTTCATCAACATAAAACAAATCAAACAAGTTCTTTTGTTTCTAACACAGAACTGTGCATTAAATGTCTTCACCCTTCCATGACCATGGCTTGAAATATAGATCGCATGGATTTCTGCAGAAAAGCACCTGTAGGGTACTACTCAAGACTTAAATCTGGAAATTGTTAAGGATATAGCTATATGTGGCTGTTTCTTAACTTGATTGTACTATTTGACCAAACTGAAATGTTTTTTGGTTTTTTTACTGAATGTAAAAGATAGCTGACATTAGCCATTCTGAAATGGTTCATTTGATATAAGTTCAACCAGAAAGCTAAAGTCTGTTTTATTACAGCCTAGCTACCTTATAACACATTTGAAATAGGCAATGGTACAGACGCACTCAAGGAAAATGAAAGCCTTTATTGGTTAATTAATCTTAAATAAATATAAAATTACAAGGTAAATTATCCTCCTTATAATGTAGCTGCTGTTAACCTGCATATATATGGTGAATGGAGGCTTATGTTATAGGGTGAGAGAAGAGAAACTGTTTCCCCTCCATGTATAAACAGAAGAATAAGACCCAAACATCTCGTTGTTTATACCTCAATTCATGCAACCTAAAAATAGAGCAGGGAGGGTAACCCGAGCTGGAACAGGCATGAAAGGGACTGGAGCTGGTCAGTCTGCATTCCCCTGAAAGTCTAGGAGTATGTTGGCTGACTTTCCCTGAGTGCCTTTCAGAGGTCATCTACTGAATCTAGTTCTCTACCCACGCCCGCCTCTACTAGGTACAAATACTGTAGATCTACATATGACTAACTGTTCACGCATTAACAAGGGGGTGAGTCAGTCTTGTCGGGGGGAGAGAGCTAGTGGTCCCATACACTCCTTCAACAGCTTCTTTATGCCACTAATATCAGGGCAAGAGAGAGTTCCTGCCAGCAGCTGCCTATGCTGCCAAGAATTAGGAAGCAAAACATGGCCAAAGGAATGAGGCCAGGAAAGTAAAGAAGGGAAATGTTTTATTTTGTTTCATTTTTTTTCTCAGAAGCAAAGGGACTAATTAATGTGTTTTGATGGCAACAGGAAGAGAGATATTGGCATTGCCAATCAGATGTCTTTTTAACTGTTTATTTTAGGGTGAACCTGGTTCTCCAAGCCCAAAAGGTCTGCCTGGATACCCAGGAGAAGTTGGAATCCCAGGACAGAGGGTTGGTCCCTAACATCAATAGACCAATCAACATGCACTGACTTCATGCATTTACAACATGCATTTATCTACTATGTGCCAGGCACATTCACATAAACTGGTCAAAAAAGGACTTAGTTCTTAGCCTTTTAAAAATTAAAATTATTATCTCTGCATTTTACTCTTTATGTGTCCTCTATGGGAAGTAGGATTAGGAATAAATAATAATAAAAAACAATGAGCTTTTAAATTTTTGCAAGATGTTTCTGAGACATTAAGATCCTTTTAGGTGGTCCCCATGAAAAAACATGGCTATTAATTAGGATCCCTTTCCAAGGAAATTGATGAAAAAGTCATGATAGAATGATAAGATTCTTTTTCTGTTGCACAGAAGTATCCCAGGGTACCTGCAGTCCAAGATCCAAGTGTTATTCTAGGTGTCAACATCCCCGGTAAAAAGGTAAGTATCACTTACTAAAATTCGTCTTCCCCTACAAGTCTCCCAAACAAAAGCTAGTTATGACTTTTTTATATACCTATGACTTAAAGGAGGCCATTGTTTATCAAACTCAGTGTTTACACAAAAAAATGCCATCACATATTAAGGAAGAAGCTTATCACTGAGTGGCTTTTCATCCTCCGTTCCCCTCTTCTCCTTCCCCCCATCATTTACAATATGTTGCCTGGAAAGCAAAAAGGCTCTCACTAAAGGCAGGATTCCACTAAAATGAACTTGTAGCCCAGACAGTAAGTCTGGGGACTGCAGACTTCATTGACACATCAGTTACAACAGAAGACTGGCCTAACTGAGTCCCAGGCTCAGAAACCTACAAAGTACAAGAGATCTTGTTACTCTGTTAAGCAAACTGGCTAGATGAAAAATCTATGTTCTCAAGGTCAGAGAGATTCCCGAAATTATTTGTCTAAAGGAGATATTCCAGAAACAAAACCTTTGAAAATAGAAGCTGGAAAATAAAGAAGTTCAAGGAAAGAACTCAGAATCTATCCAACAGAAAAACTGTTATGTTGATCAATTGTGCACTACCCCCTCAAATTCCCACTGTGCCTACCCTCATTTCTGTGCTCTAAGGGCTTCATCCTCCAAAAAAGCTATGATGACTTTTCAAAAGAAAATAAGTCATTATTGTAGATTACCAAATTTATTTTATACCCATTCATTTTTTTTCCTCCTTCCATTCTCAAGATTCATCAGCCTTTTAATCTATTCTACCTATAGCCTTTAAAAACATCAAGGGTACACATACATTAAACATTCGCAGAAGGAGCAAGGAGTGCTTTTGAGCAGTATCTTATTATAACACAAAGCCAGACTTCAGTCCTTTTTTTCTACGCTTAGGCCATTAATCAGCCTGTGTGTCTTGCATGTCAGCCACACATTACTCATCAGTCAGGGAACTGATGAGGAGTGATGGGGGCTTAACGGCTGGGAGAACGTGAGGAAACCTAAGGTGGCTATTTTCCTACTTTATACTCATATTTATGAGTTCATTTGCATGCTTTTCAAAAGACTACTGCCAAATATGTTAGCCTGTTTTTCTATTCATGAGTAAAGAGTTAACATTCATTCATTTAATACTCTGTGTGTGTGTGTGTGTGTGTGTGTGTGTGTGTGTGTATGTGTGTGAGAACTGGCTCCATGTAGAAAAAGCAGGTTTTTTAATGGCTTCTTGATGTCCCGGGGCGGGGGGAGCCTTAATAGGGGGCATTGAAACCTTGTAATTCACTTTTTTTTTTGCCAATTTTCAAAGAAGGAGATATATTTGTGTATCAGTCTTAATACAAATACCCAAGTGTTGCCACTCAAATTAATATCTTATATCCAACATTCTGTACTTTGTTGAATAATAATAATGGCATTTACATAGTGCTTTAAGGTTTGCAAAATACTTTACGTGTATTATCACTTGATCCTTAGAACAACCCTGTGAGGTAGGTGCTATTGTTATCTCCATCTAACAGATGAGAAAACTGAGGCTAAGAGAGTGTAAGTGGCTTGCCCATAGTCATACAGCTACTATGTCTGAGACAGGATCTGAACTCCTGACTCTCAGTCAAGCATTCTATTCTCTGGACCTTATAGCTGACTTATTGAATGATTATTTATGCTGTAGATACATTGTCATTTCTGTAAAACATGTGGATTAATGCTTAACAAAGATTTTTCATTCCTCTAGGGCAACCAAGGTCAGAGAGGCATGCATGACTTACCAGAAACAACAGGAGCACCTTGGACTACAGAGTCTAAAGTAATTTTCACTTTTTACATACAGATCAAGAGATATAATGGCTGGTGCTGTAACAAGTCAGTGTCATTTTCTTTGTACATGCTCATTGACTGTCAACTAGAATGTCTGCAGGTAGATTGATGAACCAGTAGCCAGAACATTCATTGCTTTATGTCTTTTAACCCAGATTGGTTTCAGAGTATTCCCCTCTCTGAGTCTATGGATTTAAATTGAGGAAGAATCAATAGACTCTTTGGCCTTTTGCTTCCCCAGGAAGTCCACTATGAGCCCTGATGTTGGATTTATTCAAGGATATTTTAAAAGATACTAAAAATATCTTTTGAATAGAAACCAGAACTAGTCTAAAATACCCCTTCTAAGAGGATGTTTTACCTGTATGAGTAAAAGAGATTATCTAGTCCAATTCCCTCCACTTACAAATAAGGAATCTGAGAAACAAAAAGATCCAATGATTTGCTCATATAAATGATAAGAAGAACAGCTAGGATTTGAACCCAGCACTTGGGATTCTAATTGCAGTGGTTTTTCCACCACACCATGATGCCATCATCTTGCTTTCCTTTCTCAATTCCAATTCAATTTAATTTTAAAACAAAAGAAAACAAAACAGTAACTATGACATGGACCCACCTGCTTACTGATACATTTTAGACTGGTTCTAAATCTGTTTGCTCCCTGACCCTAGAAGCTTTCTTTTTCATATACAGAGACTACTGGGGGGAGGGAAGCGTTAGAACTGTGCCAGTCAGTTCACATCTGCCGAGGTTTTGTTATCCCACTCCCTGAACACTATAATCACTCTGCCAGGATCAGCACTGCATTCTCTTGTACACTCCTATTGACTGCTTAGATACAGTCTAGGGTCTCCTTCCTCCTCATGCTGAATTAATTCTCAATTACTCCCATGCTACTTAAATAGAGGTTCACCTAAGAGGAAATAATGCACCCTCTGGGGACCCACACTTTCAGGCTCAATATATATCATCCAGTTTCTAGGGGATACCTGAATATCCTACAAAACCATGGTCTCTGAAATAAATTAGTCACTCTTTTGTTTCCAAACAGTCACTCAAACCAAACATTAACAGTCCTCTGCATCTTCAAATTCTATATATTCCATCACAAACAACTAGCCAGCTTCCAAACAAGTCAAGTCCACCGATTCCAGTGTCAGGAGAACATCCTGACACTGTCTTATAGCCCAGATTGGACAGGTAGAAGGGGCTTCCAAAGCCATCTAGTCCAATATGTACCTGAACACAAATCCCCTTTACAACATAACGACAAATGGTCATCCAAGGAAACGCAAGCATAGACAATCAATCCGTCAATAAACATTTATAAGCACCTACTGTGTGTCAGGCACAGTGCTAAGCACTGGGGATACAAAAAGAGGCAAAAAACAATCCCTACCCTGAAGGAGTTTACAATATAATGGGGGAGATGACATGCAAATAGATACAAGCAAGCTATATATAGGATAAATAAGAAATAATTAAAAGAGGAAAAACATTGGAATTAAGAGAGGTGAGGGAAGGCTTCCTGTAGAAGGTGGGATTTAGATCTTGTAATATTTATTAGAAGGAAAGGGAGATCTAGATGGGACCTTTTCATAAAGGAACAATGTACTTGGGAGAATCAGATATTCCTGGATGCTTTCTCTGAGTGTCTGTACTTGTATTTCTTTGTGTTGTATGTAGACCTAGAAAAGTCACATGCTGGGCCAACAAAGAACCTTAAAGAGATTGGCAATGATGAATCTTTGTCACAGGGTCAACCACAACTAAATCTTTGACTTATTTTCTGAGACCTTTCCTCTACCATAATTTAATTCTTCCTAGGCCAGCATAAAGTTCTTAGTGTTCAACATGGAGAACTATGTAAGTATGCAGTTGAGATGTTTAAGGATTCAAAATGAAAAGAGGGGGTGTTTTCCTGACTGGTTGCCATCCATTTGATGGAAAATAAATGGAGCTTAACTATGAAGGGGAAGTACATTTCCCTATCTGGTGATCAGGACTAGGAAGATGGGGCAAGGTTTGATTTGGGTTTTGGAAAGATTCTGGGACATTTAACAATGAAACCAATCTACATCCAACTATCTCCCCTAGGCCCTAGCTATGAGTCAATGAGATGGAATCAACACTTCAGGCAAAAGAACCCTCAGGGAAACCCCCTAGAAGAGTACTTAACAGCTGGTGGTAGATACTCTTCCTTCATGTGGCTCAGTGAACTTAATGTATTAAACTGGGTTTGACTTTATATAGTCTACATTTCCCAGTGCACACCACAGCACAGCCAGAATATTACCACAATATTCTGGGTTCAAAGCCAAAAAGGACTTGGTTAGATTCATTTAGATTCATTTAATTGTGACCAACATTTCTTCCTTTCCTTTATCTTTCTGAAAGAGGCTTAAAAAATTGTAGTAGGAGTTTTAATAGGCATCTAACGCTGCTTGTCTTATTTATCCTGAAAACACTAAGCCTGATATTCTGATTTTTAGGGCATATGGAGCTAACATGTTCATCTGGTACAAGGTGTTGGGCCAAAAGTAAAAACAAATAATGAAGTACCTATGTGTTTTATTGCATGTGCTGACAGAGAACACTTGTATGTTATAAAGGAGGGGCAACTAAGTGGCTCAGTGAATAGAGCACCAGCCTTGGAGTCAGGGGAACCTGAGTTCAAATCCAGCCTTTGACACTTACTAGCTGTGTGACCCTGGGCAAGTCACTTAATCCCAATTGCCTCACAAAAGAAAATTATAAGACCATAAATTTATTCTCAGCATACATGAATTTGAAGGAAAATAAAGAATCTAAGAGATGGAAGTAAGGAGGTAGAGCATTCTAGGTGCAGTCATTAACAGACCTGGGGTAGTCAGGAGAAAGAACTGATTTGGAGAGAAAACAATGAGTCCAGTCTAGGATATGTTGAGTTTTAGATGCTGACCAGACATCTAGTAGAAGATACTGTACTGAACTGAACAATAGATTCCCAACGTCAAAAAGAACTTTCTGGGGATCGTTTAGTAAGTACACACACACAAATTAATTGCCTCCACAATATCCTGGATAAATGATCATTCAGCCTGTGCCAGAACATAAAAGTCTTTTTCAGTTTTTTTTTAATTAAAATTCATAATTATTAGACACTAATATTACTCAATTTGTGTTCACTATTACTTAACTAAGCAAATAAGAGTGGCTTGGCTTCCATGACTCAGAACCACCTTGGTTTCTGACTGCCCCTTCTCTGTCTCTATTACTGGCTTCTATTCTTCTTCATGCCCCCTAAATGTAGGCATGCCACAAGGTTTTCTCCTTAACCTCCTTCTTTCTCTACAACTCTTTTAATTTAATATTTTATTTTACCCCAATTACATGGAAAAAAAATCTTAACATTCATTTTAAAAAGTTTTTGAGTTCCAAATTTTCTACCTCTCTCCTTCCACTCCCCACCCATGTTGAGAAGGCAAGCAATTTGATATAGATTATACATGTGTAGTCATGCAAAACATATTTCCATGTTCATAGTGTGAAAGAAAACACAGATAAACAAGAAAAATAAAGAAAAAGTATGCTTTAGTCTGCATCAGTTCTTTCTCTGGAGATGGATAGCATTTTTCATCCTAAATCTTTCAGAATTGTCTTGAATCATTGTATTGCTGAAAATCACTAAGTCATTCACAGCTGATTATCATACAATATTGATGTTACTATATCAAATGTTCTCCTGGTTCTACGCATTTCACTTTGCATCAATTCATGTGAGTCTTTCCAGGTTTTTCTGAGAGCATCCTGCTTGTCGTTTCTTATAACACAATAGTATTCCATCACAGTCGTGCATGACAACTTGTTCAGCCATTCCTCAATTGATGGCCATCCTCTCAATTTCAAATTCTTTGCCACCACATAAAGAGCTGCTATAAATATTTTTGTACATATAGGTCCTTTTCCCTTTTGTTTTTTTTATCTCTTCAGAATACAGACCTAGTAGTGGTATTGCTTGGTCAAAGGGTATGCATAATTTTATAACTCTTTGGGCATAGTTCCAAATTACTCTACAGAATGGTTGAATCAGTATATAACTTCACCAACAGTGCATTAGTGCCTCAATTTTCCCACATCCCCTGCAACATTTGTCATTTTTGTTTTCTGTCATATTAGCCAATCTAACAACGCTTTCCCAGATTGTCTACGCTCTTGGTTCTACCAAGTCTGTGTGCATGAATCCTAAATCTGTATTTCCACTTTTAAACTGTTACCTAAATTCCTATCCTGTATCTCCACCCAAATGTCCTATTAGCACCTCAAACTCAACATGTCTAAAGTTAGACTTACCCATTCTTCACCAAATCAACTCCTGTCCTGTCTTCTCTATTCCTATTAATGACACCATCTGAAATGCACTCTCTTCTCACCTCCATATCCTAGAATCCTTACTTTCCTTCAAAGTTCAGTTTAAACACTGCCCTTTCAGGGAGGCCTTTCCTGATTCCCCTCCCTGCCAAGTAGTAATAACTTGCACTCCTTCAAAAAACTTGCAATTTATTCCCTATATATTTCAAATATGCTTATATGTGTATATATACATTTTATATGTGTGTTTGCTCACTCTAAGATTGTTGGTTTCTATAGGGTAGGAACTGTCTTAATGTAGTGTTTATATCAAGTGCCTGGCACATACCATGATCTTAATAATTACCTGTTAGTTGATCCTCATGACTGACATTTATATATCAGGTTAAAGTTAATAAAGTACTTTGTAGACACTATTTCATCTGATGCAACAACCCAATGAAATAGGTACTGAAGTTATTATTATCCTCATTTTACAGATGAGGAAACCTCATCTTAAAGAGATTAAGTGACTTTCCCATGGTCTCATATCTAGTAAATGTCAGAAATGGTGTTTGAATCCAGTTCTTCCTAATGCTGTCTTATACTCTATCTACAAGCCCATGTAATGCCTCCAAAATTTTCCCGGTCCCAGAAGCTTAAAACCTTGGAGATAGCAGTACTAAGAAGTGAGAGCTGTCCTTTCCCAGAAAGTAATTGGATATTTGGTTGATGATTTGTGAATAACCTGCAATTTTTGGAAGTTCATTGTGGCACAGCTGGGAATAAAGCCGGAGAACAGAGGAAAAGTAAAAGCCAGAGGATGAGTGGTAAAACAGTGGTAGCAGTGGTGGCGGTAACGTCAATTAGCATTTTAATAGTGTTAAGTCATAATGATGATCAGCGATGAAGGATCAATGCTACTGTAATCAATACAATGATCCAAGACAATTCCAAAGGACCCATGATTTTAAAAAATGCTATCTACCTCCAGAGAGAATTGATGAACTCTGAGTGCAAATTGCAGTATAATTTTCTCATTTTCTTTTTTATTCTTCCTTTTTTGAAATATGGAAATATGTTTTTCATGCTCTCACATGTGTAACTGATATCATATTGCTTGCATTCTCAGTGGGCAGGTGAGGGGATGGGAGGGAAAGAATTTGGAACTCAAAATTTAAAAAGAAAAGAATCAAAAATAAATAAATAATTTTTTTTTAAATTAGAGTGTTAAGGTTTGCCAAGTGTTTTAGAAATATTATCTCATTTTATCCTCACAACAACCTTAGGCAGTAAATTCTCCTAGGTACCATGTAAACATTTGATAGTGACCTTCTGGAGATAACATCCTACCTTTGCTTATATGTTGGTTATTTAATAGTTAGAATTTCGGTTCAGGTAGGAGAGAAGAACAATGCCCTAGAAGGAAGTCACTTTGAGGAGTTTGTGGTTGAGGCCTTGTGATTCTCTCAAATCACCCTGTGCGTGTGGTCACCTACCTCATCCGCCAAAAGATCAGCCATGGCTTACAGCCTTGGGAGCTAAAATGTGAGCAGCAAGTGCTTAAGAGAAGTGTGGCTAATAAGCAAATGCTAACACTTGTGTTATCCTAAGGATGATCTTGGCATTGATCAGGAAAGGGGACAAAAGAGTGAAAAAAGTGATGTTAGGGAACCCTGGTGATTGTGGTGAGCTTTTAAGTATCATCTGCTCCTTCCTATATGATTTCTAGGTGTGCTTCCTAACTTCTCCAGCACAAATAATTTGTGTCCTATAACTGTATATGATGATATCCAAATCATTGATTTTCTTGATTCATTGAATGAATTGGCCTCTTCAGAGTCCTAAAAACCAGGCAGAGGCTTTGTGTTTCTCATTAACTAGCATTTATATTGTACTTTAGAGTTTGCGATGCACTTTACATACCTCATTACATCTGAGTTTCCCAACAACCCTGTGTTTCCAAATGTTTCTCATTTGGATTTGAGCCTTTCTTTGCCAGAACTAGGTCTAAACCTCCATTTAAAGCCACACTCTGTTTTAGGCAGATACCCTAGCACATTAATGAAGTGCTCATTAACACACCAGGCCCTGTGTGAATAGAGCACAGAAGGCTGTGCAAGAGACAGCTGGTATGTAAGCAATTTTGAAGCTTTGGTTTGGGGCTTTTTTGGTTTTTTAATAAGCCTCAAGACCAGCACCAGTTCAGAAGGATACAGATCATGAGAATCCTGCAAAAAAAAATGTCACTGACAGACTTGCCATGCAGACAGAAAGTTCTTGAAATTTTGTTTACAATAACTAATGAATTAATTTTCATACAGGGAAAAATTGGATCCAAGGATGATCAAGGCCTCACAGTAAGTGTCCTAGCTTGGAAAATGTGAAATTAGGATATGTAAGCAGCATAGTTTCATGGTTTTGTTATATTATCCTATCCTGTCCTTTCCTTCACATCTTTCCCATCCAGTATTCTCCATCTTGTGTCAAATTCTGTGTTCTCTATCTCCTCTTATACACATTTTAAAATAAGCATAGTAAGGAGGCAGTTAGGTAGCTCAGTGAATAGAGCACTGGGCCTGGCGTAAGGATGACCTGAGTTCAAATTTGCCTCTGATGCTTACTAGATGTCTGATCCTGGGCAACTCACTTAACCTCCATTTGCCTTAATCTACTGGAAAAGGAAATGGCAAACCACTCCAATATATTTGCCAAGAAAACCCCAAATGGGGTCACAAAGAGTTGGATATGACTGAAACAACTAGACAACAACAGCTATAACTGCTATATTATAAGTTTACTGGTATGATTTCTTGCCTTCTCAATTGGTGGGGGAGGTAGTCGGTGAGGGAGAGAATCTGGAACTGAAAATACAAATTTACTGCTATGAACTCAGCAGTTACATGAAATTATTTAGCTAGAAAAAATAGATACATTGAAAGTCTTTCTTTAAGAAGTAGGACTTATTATAGAAATTACATTCGACATTTCATTCATAACATATACTCCTAAGTTTGTAATTCAAAATAAATGTCTCATAATTTTGCCTCTGAGAATTAAGGATTGCCAAAGGTTGTCAAATAATGCTATTTATTATTAATCAATGGTCCTATTTATACAGAGAGAAGATATAATTAAACTAATTAAAGAAATATGTGGTAAGTTTGTTTTGTTTTGTTAAACTGACATTTTATTTGTGTGGTATCTTTTATTTTACTCTTTTCCAAAAGTATGAGTGGGCAAAAAATATATATATACATATACATATGCATATATATGTATGTATGTATGTATATATACATATGCATATATACATACACACATTACATATATATATATTTATATATGTTTATATTTTTTATATTTATTTATATATATATGCCCTCCACTACCCACTCACTCTGATGGCTAAAGCCATTGAATTCATTATGAGTTTGACTATAGTCTCACTGGTCCTTTGCATACTATATTCTCATTCCCTGCACTAACCAGTCTTTCACTTTGCCAAGAGGGCAAGATTTAGTAAATGAGGATTTAATGGTAAAGGTAGAAATAGGGAGAAAACTCAAGGAAACAAAGCTGTTCTGCCCTCTTCCCAAAGTATAATAGTAGGGTCTAACTAAAACATTAATAACCTAAGATCCATGAACTTGGAGTGTCTTTTTTAGTATCTTGATAATTTAAAGTATTTTATGTAATTTTATGAAATAAATGTAATTTATTTTATTATCCTATGTATTTTACTTTATGCCTTTGAAAACATTATTCTGAGAAGGGAGCCATAGGATTCACCAGACTGCCATAGGGGTCTATGATATAAACAAGGTTAAGGGCTCCTTGTCTATTTAGTGACTTCATTAGTTGGCTAGTTTCAAAACACCTGAATACTTAAATGTATCCTAGGCTCAAGAATGCCCAACCAATTGCATAAGAATAGGAATAATAGCTAAACTTATGAATTTATTGATATAGGGAATTCCCAGGTGAGAAGACTCTGTGTGCAATTTATGTGCATATCTCTGATTTGTCTCCCCCATTAGACTGTGAGGTCCTTAGAGTACAGACACTCTTTTGTTTTGTTTTGTATCCCCAGTGCTTAGCATTTGGCATATAGTAGGTTAATACATTAATAATAATAAATATTTAATGATAATAAAATAATTCATAATAATAAAAGCATTAATAAATCCTTTCTGAGGGACTGACTCTTCTATAAGGGAGAGAAAAGTCTTCTATAAGGGAGGGGAAAGTTAGAACTCCTGTTTATTCAACATTCTGCCAGAGCTCCCAAATACAAATTCCCTTTACAACCTACCCAACTAGTAGTCAGCTTCTACTTGAAAATCTCTAAGTAATGGGCAGGAACCCATTATTTCCCTGAACTAACCCTGTAGTTAGATTGCCTTAGTGAGAAGCTTTGTCTGTATTCCTTGACATCTCAGATCCAACTACCACAATCCCCATATAACCCTTTCCATTCTTGGCTAACTCTGTCAAGAAAGTACAATATCTAGATGAAGTATTACATTGTAATCTAACTCCATTTTCTTTTCAGAAAAGCACATGTCTTCCAAGATATTCATTTGTTTTCCAGTTGTTTTCATATGTTTCTTCCCAACTAGACTGTAAAAAGGCAGCAAGGATTGTGTTTTAGGGTTGCTTGGTGTGAGGAGGGAGATCTTCAGGGGACTTCACTTTTTCTGTTCACAAAGGAGGCATTCAGAAATGCTGATTGATTGTGAGGTCATTATGAAGGCAAAGAGAGGCCTTTTCTGGCAAGGTTGATGTAAACACTGTGTTAGTACTTTAATTGTACAAACATTGCATTTCAAGTTACTGTCTCAATACAAGCACTAAGTAAGTGACTATACCATCAGCTAAACCAAAACTAATTCTGAATTTTCCTGTGTTTTTCTTCCATAGGCTGTACCATTAACTGTAAGGACATGCCAATGGAGCTTGTTTTTGTGATCAATAGCCCTGAAAGCATGGGACCTGAAAACCTAGAGGTCGTCAAAGATTTTGTCATATCTCTAGTTGACAGAGTCACTGTAGGGAGAAATGCTACCAGGATTGGCCTTGTGCTGTATGGTTCAGAAGTTCAGCTCACATTTGGTCTGGATAGATTCATTGCCAAACAGGATGTGATACATTCCATTAGGAAGATATCATATGTGGGAAAAGGCACTTTTACTGGCACAGCCATTCACAAAGCAACCCGAGAAGCATTTTGGGGGGCCCGGACAGGGGTCAGGAAAGTAGCTGTCGTGATCACAGATGGCCAAACAGAGAAGAGTGAAGCTATCAAATTAGAAGCTGCTGTCAGAGAAGCTCATGCAGCCAACGTTGAGATATATGCAATTGGAATCATCAATATTTCAGATCCAAAACAATATGAATTTGTCCGGGAATTAAACTTGATTGCATCAGATCCAGATAGGGAACACATGTACCTCTCTGACAGCTTCAATGCCCTCCCAGGTGAGTGTATATAAGTCTGAGAACAGTAATTTATTTGCAATTACTGAAGAGGAGTCAATATCCTAGGGGTTATCCTTTGGGGATCTCTTTCAATTTCTATTTTACCCTCTGGTTCTAGAATATCAGGGCAGTTTCCTTGATAACTTCATGAAAGTTGATGTCTAGGCTTTTTTTAATCATGGCTTTCGGGTAGTCCAATAATTTTTAAATTACCTCTCCTGGATCTATTTTCCAGTCCAGTTGTCTTTCCAATGAGATATTTCACATTGTCTTCTATTTTTTCATTCTTTTGGTTTTGTTTTATAATTTCTTGATTTCTCATAAAGTCATTAGCTTCCATTTGCTCCATTCTAATTTTTAAGGAATTATTTTCTTCAGTGAGCTTTTGGACTTCCTTTTCATTTGGCCAATTCTGCTTTTTAAAGCATTCTGCTCCTCATTGGCATTTTGGACCTCTTTTTGCCATTTGGGTTAGTCTATTTTTTAGGTGTTTAGTATTTTCTTAGTATTTTGGGGGGCTCCTTTAGCAAACTGTTAACATGTTTTTCGTGATTTCCTTGCATCACTCTCATTTCTCTTTCTAGTTTTTCCTCTCCTTCTCTTACTTGCTTCTCAAAATCCTTTTTGAGCTCTTCCATGGCCTGGGAATGATTCGTATATTTTTTTGGAGGCTTTGGATGTAGAAGCTTTGACTTTGTTGTCTTCTGGTTGTATGTTTTGATATTCTTTGTCACCAAAGAAAGATTCTGTGGTCTAACTTTTTTTTGCGCTGTCTTTATTAAGGTAGGGGTCTGCTTCCAGTGTGAAGGGTGTAATGTCCCAAGCTTCAGGGGTTTTGTGCAGCTGTTTTCAGAGATAATCCTAGGGACCTGTAAATTTTCAGTTCTTCTAAGGCAGTATGATCAAAGGAGAGGTGTTTACTCCTTTCCTGGCCTGTGCTCTGGTCTATGAGTGACCACACTCACTCTTTTCTGCCTTGGAACTGTGAGGAGGATTTTCTCCACACCACCACTGTGAGCTCCACCACACCTGCACTCCTCCTTGACCCAGGACTATGACCCAGATCCAAGCACAAACAAAGCAAGAGAATTCTGCCTCAGCACCAGCAAAGAGATCCCTGCAATACCCCTCTGATCAATCACTTGATCCCCCCACCATCTGTGGGCCAAGAACTCCGGAAGCAGTTTCCACTGCCACATTGAGGCTGTGCCAGGGCTGGGGCCAGACTGCACTCCTCTCTCATCCAGGTCCAACAGACCTTTCTTACCTACCTTCTAATTTGTCTTTGGCATTTGTAGGTTGAGAAGTCTGGAAACTGCTACAACTACTAGTGATTCAGTCCCCTGAGGGCTGCTCCAGGTTTGCCTTTTTTACACGTATTTCAAGGGGCTTGGGGGAGAGCTCCAGCAAGTCACTGCTTTTACTCCGCCATCTTACTCCAAGAGGAGTCAATATCAACAACAACATGGGATACCTAAATAAATTTTCAGCTACATTCATTCTTTCATTGAGCAGTCATTCTTTCAGCATCAGTTACTACGTGCAAAGCATGGTGCTAGGCACTGGGAGATACAACCTTTACATAGTCCTCATTGTCCAATAAATTGCTGAAATAAGTACAAAATCCAGTACTTTGCTTTGATTTTGGAGCCCAAATGTATGTGCTGTATCTATGAAATACCAGGCAAAAATGTCAAGGCACATAGTCCCAGGACCCAGATAAGAAGTCATTTGTCCTTATGAGCTCTTGCCACATCTGAGAATTAAGCAGTGCTCTTGACAGTGACCCAGTATTTATCATAAACTGCTTAAGAGCTGGAAGTAGGCCTACCCTTTCTTCTAAAATCCCCTTAATGCCTAATACAACATACTGTATATCAGGACTTGCTTTAACATCCTTCAACCTCCCCCTCTGAAGAGTTTCTTCTCCCCATTTCCTTGTATCTTTATCTCTTCTGTGTCTCCTCCTCCCAAATCCCTGCCTGCTCTAAGATAATTGTCAATTAATACCCCCAAGTTCTTAGCTGATAGGATAACTGCTTATGATATGCCTCCCAGAGTTATTTGCTTTTTTCTGGAGAAATTCTATACAGCCAAAAATCTTTATTACACAAAAGAATTAGGGTGCAGTGCATTGGTGGAATTTCAGTCACTATTCCAGGTCAGTGGTGGAGGAGAGAGAGGTACTTTAGGACTTCTCAATGTACCTCAAAACACAATACCACTACCTATGTGCATGTATGTACTTAACAGTCAGCTCAAACTAGCTCTTACTAAATTTTCAGTGTGAGTATTTACACGTTGGCAATCAGTAAACACTATAAATCAGGACTTGATTTATTGTTCTATTGATTGTCTAGACTTAAGAATGGGATGGAGAAACTGACAATAATGCACTAAATGTAAAAGTACATCATGGGTCCTTTTCTTGGGGAGCCAATTGTTAAACACAATGTTAAACATCATTCCCTATGAGTAAGGACTGCCCTACTACAATGAGTGCTCAATAAATGTTATTGATAATTATTCCAAATTATGGCAACCTTGCTAATGGAAGTGGTAGGTACAACATAATTAAAAAATTTTTTAAAACTACCATTGTCTATTTTAGGCAAGGATTCTTAGCCTGAGATTTGGGAAACTTTTTAAAATATACGTTTTGATAATTGTATTTGAATACAATTGATTTCCTTTTATTTTATTTTGTAAGTGTAAAAACATTATTCTGAGAAAGGGTCTCTAGGTTTCACCAAAGTGAAGCCAAGGGAATGCATGACAAAAAAAAATTAAGGACTGCTGGTCTTAGGGATGTTCCTTATGTGGTACTTATATAAACCAGTGCTAGGAGGGTAGAAGGAGAGCAAAACTCTGGGATCATGGCTTGAAAGTCATCACTAGGCAATACAGGACAAAGAAGTAGATAGCAGGGAGAACCAAGATGAAGATGAAAAAAAATGGAAACTTAAAATTTTTGGGAAAGAGAAAGAAATATATCCTCCCTTTATTCCTTTCACTTCTAACTACAACCTCTCTCCCCTTCCTAACCCCACATGAATAGGAATTCTTTTCATAAGGGTTAACAACCTCTGTAAACCCCCGAGTCTTTGTTCGTAGTTGATAACTATATTTCAGTGTAATTGGTTTTCTTTTTTAAGCCTCTGTATTTTATTCTGTGCATTTGAAAGCCATGTTCCAAGGAGTCCGTGGCATGCATTAAAAGATTAAGACTCCTTACTTCAGAACATCATTTCATCTTGTTATTTGTTTTGTTGTTTTTTTTTTTGTCTTTTCTTTTCTTTTAAAAAAAGATTTGGAGTCCAAGTTGGCAAACCAGTTTTGTGCTAATGAACATAATGCATTAATTTCTGGACAAACCAGAAATGATAGGATAATTGGAAAGTCTTTCCAATCTGCATTGTTCAATTCCGCAAATAACTTACTCCACAACAGCAGCAGACTGAATGGACAAACAACTTCATCAGATAAGCAGAAAGCAGATACACGAGAAAACTATTTTGGCTCTGACAAGCATTCTCAACCAACCACAACGGTATAGTATGAGTTTCTTAAAACACTCTCTAGTGAAATACGAGTAAGTAGGCATATATACTCTCTGATTAATTAAATGTGCCGTATAACTCTTTAGTTAATAACCTTGAGTCCCAGTCATTATGATTGTTAGAGTATAAAAAAAACAACACTTTTAAGTTTTGCCTACAAACTAAAAAGTTATACAGCTCTAGTATTGTTCTTCAAAGTGGTTACCTTAGAAGACTATATACTTGTTCTAATAGTTCTTTAATTGCCCATTTTTAAGTTGGACTTTGGGGCCCTGCAAGAAAATCAGAATTATTGTTACGTATTGCTACATTCAGTTTGGAAGTAAAATTAATATTGCACAACTTGATCAAGCACTTTATTAATCACATTCAGTTTCAAATTACTTTTGGCAATTTTTTAAAAAAATCAAAACTACCTCCTAAGAATCAAGCCCAATGCATTGGAAAGAGTACTGGATTTGGAATTTAAGCAAATCACTTCATCTTTCTGAGGCTCAGTTTCCACATCTAGAAAATGAATGGGTTAGACATGATTTCTAAGTTCCCTTGTAGCTCTAAATCTGTAATGCTATGGTCCTAAGATTTACTACCATGGGGAATATTCAAAAGAGAATGCCCCAGATCCTGAAGGAAAGTTGCAAAAATATATAAAAGCGGCATCCCTCAAGTAAATTGAAGCCTGGCCCCAGAAAACTAGAGTCTGAGCTTTTAAGGGAATGACACTCAGATGTATCTCTAAGTGTGTTTAAATCTATGAGTATGTTTGTCTAAAATGTAGTCATGTTACCTTCTCATCACACCCTGGCTGTCTTTAAAACTAGCTAAGAATTTAAAAGGACAGTTGATAGAGTGCCATGCCTGTAGTCAGAAAGACCTGAATTCAAATCTAACCTAAGATACTAGCTGTGTAACACTGAGCAAGTCATTTAACCCTGTTTGCTTCCATTTCCTCATCTGTAAACTGAGCTGGAGAAGGAAATGGGAAACCACTCCAGTACCTTCCCCCAAAAAAAATGGTATCACAAAGTCTGCCTGAATAACAACAATATAAAGAAATCTATAGTCTTTTAAGGACCCTTCCAACTATATAATTTTTTCAAGTTTTGCTTGTTTAAAATATATTTGAAGTACACTTCTACCCCTTCCCCTGCCCCCTGCCCATGGTTTCATAGGATCTTAGATTTAGAACAGGAAGGGACCATAGAGGTCATCTTGTCCAATACTCTTACTACACAGTTGAAGTATCTAAATCTCAAGACTGTGCAGTTACTTGCCCAAGGTCACACAGGTACTAAGAAGCAGAAATTTAGGTCCCCTAGGTTCCCTGACTCCAAATCCAGTACTCTTTCTACTGTTACTCTTCATAATAATCCACCCAACTACACTTGAGACTTAAATTCTAATTTCACAGCACTGATATTTAGCTTCCTTTATCAGGAACTAGAGACAAACTCTAATTAGATCACATGCACAGATTTACGTATCCTGTTACTCACTCTGATTCAGCCAATTATGGATGAGTACTTAGGGCTTCTGGAATTTAGCTATGTCATTTATGGATGCCAGATATTTGCATGGAAAGTGAAAAAGTAAACTCATGTTTTGTTTATGAGACACAAAATATCTGGATATTTCTGAACATCAGAATAATTGCCAGGATGTTTAAGCTTCATTTGGATAGTTATTTCCATGTACATATAGTCTTTCTCAAGCTCAGTGTCTTGAACAGAATGAAGATTTTATACATATGTGTTAATTGATTAAAGGAACATGATCATACTGTAAATGGTTCCACGGTGAAAGGCTCAAAAGATATCAGACAGTAGGAGAGAGTGGAGGATGTTCCCAGAGCCCCAACCAAGAACTAATCTAACCTTAATCCTTTATGGACTTAAGTAAATACATGGGGGGAAAAAGTGCATTTGTTTTCTTACAGAACAAAGAATCACTGGTGTTACTGTATGAAGACTATGAAGAAAAATATAAGAAAGTAAAACAGCTACCTATATCATCAATGAATCTTCAAGGTATTAGACAGTTGATCGTGAATTCATTCAATTCAATAAGCATTGATTAAGCACCTACAGGTACAAGGGACTGTGATGGGTGCTGGGGACACAAAAGCAAAATTAAACATTCTTGTCAGCTCTTGGTACTTACATGCTATTGAGTGAGGCATCGAGGGAAGCTAAGTATTCTAAAAGGTGAAAATGAGGTGGCAGAATACACAGTCATGGGGAGGGAAGACGAAAGGGAATTAATCATTTGGGTAAAGTCCTTGAGGCAGGAAATATATCATATATGGGGAACAGTTTGCAGGTCAGTTTGATTGGAATGATGAGTACATGAAGGGGATGGCAGGAAATATAACTGAAAAAGGTAGTAGGAGAAATTGTGGAGGACTTTAAATACTAGGCAGAAGAGTCTACACTTTGTTATTTGGGCCATAGGGAGCCTCTGAAGCTTTTTAAGTGTCAAAGGGATGTAGTCAGATCTACATTTTAGGAATATAAATTTGGCAGCTATATGAAGGATGGATTGGAAAGAAGAGAGACTGGTAGCAAAGAGTCTAACTAGGAGGATATTAACAATTGTCCTGAATAGACATGATGAGGCACTCTACTAGGGTAGTAGTAGTATGAGTGGAGAGTTAGGGGAGGATATGAGAGAGGCTGTAGAGAGACTCAACAAGACAAGGAAAATTTTTGGATATTGGAGGAGAGGAAGAAGGAAGAATCAAGGAACCAGTTTCCAAACCTGGATCACTAGAAGGAAGATGAGACTCTCAAAAGAAATAAGAAAGTTTGAGAAGGGGTGAGTTGGGAAAAGGGAGAGAAAATGAGCTTTGTTTTGGACACGTTGAATTTGAGACGCTTTCCATGATATTTAATATTTATATTAAATTAATATTTAATATAATCTAATTACATACATGGTTACCAATGACCTTTTAACTACGAAATTCACTAGCCTTTTCTCAATCCTAATTCTTTAGCTCTCTAAAATGTTTGATACTGTGTACCATTCTTTCCTCCTCGATACTCTCTTTTTCCTTGGATTCTGTGACACTATTCTCTCTCTCTTTTTTCTCCTGTATTCCTCTGACCATTCTTTATAATCTTTGCTAGCTCTTCATTTTCTTCCTGCCTCCCCTATGGCCCTTTCCTGAGATATTCTCTTTTTTCTCTACACTTTCTCCTTATATACTCATTACTTCTCATGGATCCAATTATCACCTTTATGTTGATGACTTTTACATCTATATATTTAGTCCCAGTCTCTTTCACAGACTCTAGTTCTATATTACCAATTATCTGCTTGACATTTCCAGAATCCAAGGAAAAAGACAGCAAATGTATAATTGTAGTCACCAGGTCAATCACGCTAGATATTCCATAGGTGCTGAATTTTTCCAGCCTGTAATCATGTTTTGATCTCCATCATTTCCCTGCATTTCCAGCAGGTGAGAGATTGGTATTCCTCACTTATTCGGATGTGTCTAACCTACTTTTGGTACCAGTATCAAAGAACTCTATTCACTCTGCTCTCCTCTGTGTCGAGCTAATTGTTCATAATGGTTTCAAGTAGGGACAGCCTACAATCCTATGCTGTCCTATCTGTCTCTTAGATTCATAAGACTGATCATACTCACTGTGGTGCTAAACCAATCCCAGGTATTGCCAGAACCTAATTTACCAGCATGTCAGGGTTCCTGCTATGATGACCTTAGGGCATACAAAGACACTCCTGGGTATTACCCTGGCTGCCATTCTCATACTTGGCTTTTGTTCCATTTCCCCCATTACATAGATATTGGTCTGGGTTTTGAGGGGACTATTATTATTTTATTGTATGAGATATATATACATGCATGTACCTTATGGACAACTTTACATTTGTCTTCCTCAAAGGGAATATTAATGTATTAATGAGTGAAGGGGATTTTTTTATGGCATGGCAAGAGATTTCCTTTTTTTCTAAGTTGGTGTTAGCAAGTTTCACAATATAGACATGTATTTTATCTTCCATTAATAATACTAAGAAATATATATAAAGTTTCAGTTTGAATTCATACCTGTTATTAGGTAACTCAAAGTGTGCTTGTTATAAGCCATTGCTATTAAAATTTTTTTGAGCTATGATTCTAGTTGGAGGACTGGTTTGGGACCCATGCAAAAAAGACCTAAGGAATTTGAACTGGTGCTAGCAGGGTGTGGTCCATTTTCCCCAGGCAGAAACTTTGAGTTTAATGAAGAGGATTTTTTGAAAAACTGTCTACCTTCTAATAACCAGACTAGCTAAGGTCAGAGAGACCAGTCAACAAGTTGTCTGCATGGTGATAAATTTCTTAGCCAAAGAAACTCTTCACCTGTTCTTGGCCATCAGTGGACATAGTAGCTGTAAATGCCCAGAGTCAGGAAATGGATTATCTTCTGTGAGGAACAAAGAAGCTAGTATCTCTAGATCTCAAAGTAAATTGAGGGGATTAAGATGTGAGGAATCTGGAAAGGTAGGCAGAAGTCAAGTTGTGAAGGGCTTAAAAGCCAGAGAGTTTTATATTCCATCCTGTAGGTGAGGAAGAGATAGTGTATTTTCTTGAGTAGGGTAGGTAGCATAGTCAGACGTGTGCTTTAGGAAGATGGCTTTGGCAACTAAGTGGAAAATGGATGGGAGTGGGGAGTCTTGCCACAAGGAGAGCAACCAACAGGCTATTGCAGTAATACAGGTGTGAGGTAATGAATGTGCTAGGGTGATGGCAACATTAGAAGAGAGAAAGAAGTCTATATTAGAAATGTTGGGAAGGTAGAAGGGACAGGACTTAGCTACAGATTGGATATGAGGCAATAGGGAATGAGGAATTGAGGAAAACATCTTGTCAGGAATGCATGCCTCTAATAGAAAGATGATGGATTTGGGGAGCGGATTGAAACAGATATGTAGAGATATATAGATATAGATATAGATATGCGTATATGAATGTATGCATATATGTGTGTGCGTATATATGTACATATATATATATATAATATAGTGTTTATATATACATCCATATAGATCTCCAATGAGAAAATTTGTTTTCCTTGACTATGCATGTTTATTACAAGGGTTTTGTTTTTCTTTCTTTCAACTGGGAGAGGGGGAAAAAAGTGAGAGGGAGAGGTGAATTTTTGTTAGTTGAAAATTTTTAATTTAAAAATAAAACTAAAAATAAAATAAAGTGAAGATATTGCACTAAAAAAAATCAATGTAATGATCAACCATGATTCCAGAGGGTTGATAAAAAAGGATGATACCCACCTCTTGAAGACACAAAATGAGACGTGCATTTTTAGACATGGCCAATGAAGAAATCTGTTTTCCTTCACTGTGAATATTTGTTACGAGATGTGTTTTTGTTTTCTTTTCAATTTGGAGGGTGAGGAAGAGAAAAGAAAAAAATAAACGCTTGTTAATTGCGGGGAAAGGATTTTTTGGGTTTGGGGGGTTTTTTTAGAGCTTATGGGCAGCGTTGGGAAAAGATCCTTAAATTACTTAATGCAAATCAAGACAGTCTTCATATTCCACCTTCCACCCACTAGAATAGCAAAAATAGAAAAAAATATATATAAAATTCAATGTTAATGCTTCAAGGAAATAGTCATTCTTAATGCATTTTTGGTGGAACTGCAAACTTGTGCCAACATTTTAAAAATAATATAGCAATGTGTAAGCATAAATTGAACATGACTTTTGACTAATAACTCCTTTTCAAGATTTTACTGTAAAAAATGAAAAAGAATTTGCTTGTACAAAAAAAGGACTTGTTTGCCATATTTATAATAGCAAACAACTGGGGAAAAAATTAAACATCCAACAATTGGAGAATGGTACATTAATATCATGAGAATTTTTAATTTTGTTCAGAGCTGTAATTTTATTGGTGCAGGGAATCCTGAGATCCACCAACGTGGATCAGCACCTGTTGAAAACAAAATCAAACATGGGAGAAATTCAAGAAGTGAACATAGAGCAAATGCATTTTTATTTGCTTCTACTATGTAAAATGCTAAAGATTTCTGTGGGATTTTATTCCTTATATATTTGATTGTTTCATTCTGTTGATAAGCATTAAGCACATAATAGAAATGTCTTTAATGCTATGCAACTATTAAATATGCATTCTCCATTTCCTTTTTTTGTTTGTTTTTTGTTTTGTTTTTGTTTTAGAAAATACATGGAATCCACAATGTCAATTAAACTTAGATCAAGGATCATGCCGTGTATATGTTATAAAATGGTACTATGATAAGAAAGCGAATGCTTGTGCTCAGTTTTGGTATGGCGGCTGTAATGGAAACGCTAATCGCTTTAATAGCGAAGATGAATGTGTAAAGACCTGCGTATTTTTCCACGGAGGTACAGTGTGATAATATAAATAGTCATATGTTTATGTAACCTGTAATAATGACCACCTACTCAAATGAGAAAATAATACAAAATAAATGAATTCCCATTGAAATCACAACTGAATGTTTCTTCAGAAATGATAGCAAATTAAGGTTACTTCTTTCCATTTACCACACTCTGGAAACTCTATTGAAAACCTTCTTTCTCTCTCCTATCACTGCACAGAGAAAGAAAAGGGTTATATGTTGGTATGGCCATAAGTATTTGCATGGAATGAAAAGAATTTTTTCACTTATATTTAATATGCTGCCAGCCTTGAGCAATGACACCAAACTATCAGAGAAAATGTCTAGTGCTCTGGACTAATCTGTCCTGTATTCAGTATGATAAAAATCAGGGAAGAGTAATTAGGTTGGGTTGGTTTGGGAGAGGGGTGGTAGGAGTAATGGTATGAAGAGAATAGGAAGAGCCCCTAGGTTTTGTGTGTGTGTGTGTGTGTGTGTGTGTATTTATATCAGAACCTAAAAGTTTCTTTTTATTTTTCAGACACCTAAAGTATTAAAGTAGATTCTCCAATTTTGTAATAGGAAAAAAAGTTTTTATTCAAAAGACGAAATATTGTAGGCATTCAACTTTTTGCTAAGTCACTTGATTTTATGATTTTAAATAATATTTTGTATTTATTTCACATTGCTTCATAATGATTTTTTACATTTTAATCCAATTAATGATAAATGTCATTGAGGGACTTATGACATTTGTTGAGTGAATATTTTGTCTTCTTTTATAAAAGTACAAGACAAATGCCTTTTATGGTTCAAATATAGATATATTTTTTCCTTTAAAGGCTTTGCTTTGTACCTACTGACTAGATACAAAGTTTCTAATGGCTATAATAAAGTTACTTTAAATGAATTCCTGTTTTACTTCTATCTAATGGAGAATTTTTATGCAACTGATTCATGTTTTACCAGTTCCAGATATATTCACATGAGGAAATTAAGATAAAAAATATTTTATTCAATTCTCATTGCATTAAACCATAGAATGTTAGTATTTTGTTAAAATCTTGTACACCTGCAATTTATATTGAACTAATAAAGGTAAGTTTGAACTTATTGAAAATCTGCTGATGCCTGAGCATACCTGCTTAATTGCAATTTTAATTAAAAAGAGAAATTAGGTCATAATTCACATTTCCATAAGGTACTAAAAGTCTTTAGAGTACTTTCCTCACTTAATCCTTAGGTGGGACTGCTAACCCTGGCTTGATCTTGCTCACTGAAAAACTGGGTCCTCTGTGTGGTCATGCTCATCTCAGTAACCTAGTGTCAATGAAATAGCTATGAGCTCCAAACTACTGGAAAACCCTGCTCTTTCCCAACCTATGACTTTACTGAGCCCTAGTCACAAGATCTTAGCATAATGGAGTCAGCCACCCATTCAAACAGACAGACTTGGTGCCTTTTTTTTCCTTTTTGCATAGGACGATTAAAAGGAATAAAACCACATAATAGAACATCTACTGCATGATTGTGTACCCACAGCTCCTTCTAGTCCTACAGGCAGCTAGGTAGTCTCCTAGATAGAATGATAGACCTGGAGTCAGGAAGACCTGAGTCCAAAGGAGGTTTCAGTTTCTTCCCAGGTGGGTGACTCTGAGCATCAATTAACCTTTGTCTACCTCAGTTGCCTCATCCTTAAAATGGGATAATAATAGCATCTACCTACCAGGGTTGTTCAGGATAAAATAAGATATTTGTAAATCACTTGGCAAACCTTTAAGCATCATATAAATGCTAGTTATTTTAGACCCAGGTGGTACTTGATCAGCATGTGTGGCACACTCTGATCCTTGGAGTTTAAGGACGTTGCTCAAATCGTGTAGATTCCATCACCCACACCAGAACAGCAGATGTCTTCAATGTGAGGATCTGTAAAAACCTTTCTAATTTAGGAATTAGCAAACTTTTCCAAGTGAGACAGGGTGCCACAGTGGAGTCAGAAAGCCTGGATCCAAAACCTTACTCTGCTATTTATTAATTACATCAACTTAGGAAAGTCACAACCTCTTCTGAGGGCTTCTGAGATCTCATCTAGCTCTAAATCTGTAATCTCATGATCCCATGTTGTGCACAGCATTCTGGGCTCAACAACTGGTATTTCTGCAGCTTCATTCAGAACAGTCTGAAGATTATGCTTTTCTATTTGCTGTTCTATCACTAGAAGCGACTTCCGGATGCTTCCTGTTATAATGTCTTTGCTTTTTGGTGACCAGGGGAATGGACTCAAAGGCAGGCTAAATCAGATCCTGCTACCACTCTGCCCTCTTGTCTCTGACCTTGATTGCAACATTCTTTGACCTCAAATTCAAGTTTCTGATAGACAAGATGTCCTTTCCTTCTTGGTGTCTTCCAGTAAATACCAGAGACAAGAAGGGCCAAAAGAAAGGGAAAGAGAACCTAACCTCACAACCTTATGAGATATTTAATGCAAACATTATTATCCCCATTTATAGATGAGGAAAAATGAGGTTTAGAGAGGTCAAGCCTTTGGTCTCTCAGCTAGTAAATGTAAGACCTAGGCTTTGTACCCAGGTCTGCTGACTCCAAGGTCAGTGTTTTTTCCACACTAAACCACACTGCCCCGCCCCTGTTACTCTCTTTGACTGTTCTTTATTATTATTGCTATTATTTTTGTGCACATCTGTGATATATTCCATCAGGAGTTCCAGTGATGCAGACTAGCAACTCATGTCTAATTTATAATCTTAAGGATTTGCCTAACTTTGACTTTTCTCTCTTTTTTTTGATTGGGTCAGTCAGAGAGGTGAGAAGGAAAGAAAATAAATGCTTGTCTACTGAAAATAAAATAACTTTTAAGGAGCTGGCTGAAGGCACTGAGACATTAAATGATTTGCCCATGGTCACATAACTTGTATATGTCAGAAGAAGAACTAGAACCCAAGTCTCCCTCACTTCAAGGCTGGCCCTACTATCTACTATCCAGTGTGTGAGCAGTTCTCAAACTTCTGGGTCTCAAGATTACTTTAAAGTCTTAAAAATTATTAAAACTTCCAAAGATTTTTTATTTATGTGAGTTATATTTATCAATATTTTGTTGTTATTGTTCAGTTGTGTCCAACTCTTCATGACTTCGTTTGGGATTTTCTTGGCAAAGATACTGGAGTGGTTTGCCATTTCCTTCTCCAGCTCATTTTACAGATGAGGAAACTGAAGCAAACAAGATTAAGTGATTTGCCCAGGGTCATATAGCTAGTAAGTGTCTGAGGCCAGATTTGAACTCAGGATGATGAGTCTTCTTGACTCCAGGCCTGGTGCTCTATCCATTGTGCCACCTACCTGTCCCTACTAATATTTGCCATATAAAAAAAATAAAATGGATAATTTGAAAAAAGTTATTAATTCATTTAAAATAATACCATTTCATTTTAACATAAATATTTCTTATGAAAAAGACTATATTTTTCCAAAAAAAATAGTGAAAATGACATTGTTTTACATATTTTTGCAAATCTCTTTAATGTCTAACTTAATGGAAGACGGCTGGATTCTCATATTTGCTTTTGAATTCAATCTGTTGCAATATGTTGTTTTGGTTGAAGAAAATCTAGCCTCAGAGAGATAAGTAGTTAGGAAAGGGAGACATCTTAATAGGCAAATAACATCTTAGCATTATTATAAAACTACTTTTGACATCACAGAGCCCCTGAAAGGGTCTCAGGGACCCCTAGGAATCTGAGGACCACAGTTTGAGAACCACTGCTCCATATCATGCTGCTTCTCTCTTCTGCATTAATGAAGAATATAATCATATTATTTATATCTTTTGGTTTTCTAGTGAGAATCAGTGACTAAGACCTCATTGTATTGCCTCACCTAGAAAAGAAATTGTATCTCAGTAGAAATAATAACAACTTGCATTTATGTAGAACTTAAGTTCTAAAAAACACTTTATTAACAACAACCCTTCAAAGTAAGTAAGTGCAATTTGTATTAATCCTAATTTACAGGTGAAAGTGTTAAGGCTTAGAGAGATTCAAGGACTTCTCCATAGTCACATAGCTGTCAAAAATCAGAGCTGGGATAAAAACCCAAAAACATGGTGAGATCTCCTTTAAACCCTGTCTCCCTTTCCAGGAGCATTTCCTTTAGGCAAACATATTTCAAAATGGAAGATATAAGGGGAAGATAAACTCAATAATATCTCAGTGATATCTGACTATTCATATCCTCATTTCCCTCCTAGTTCTCACTATATTGCCTAACTATGAAAGTAATAATTTAGTATTACCTGCATTTCCTAAGAAAATATTTTGCCCCAGCCTCCCATACAACATGTTTAAACATATCAGTTTAATAAAAAGAACCCAGATCTAATTCCTTTAAGGAACACTTCCACTTTATCCTCTCCCTATTTCTTTGATATATGGAATTTCCATTTTTCCCCCCATGGGTACTTCAATAGACCTGAGATCTCCAAGATGTGACAAGACAGAGAATAGGCTTCTAGGGTATTGGTTGATCCTTTAGAGAAGATTTCAGGAAGGGTGTAGGCAAGAATCTCGAAGGATAAGTAGGAGTTGACTTTTTGTGATGAACAAGAACTGGAAATTGAGGAAATGCCCATCAGTTGGGGAATGGCTGAATAAGCTATGGTATATGAATGTAATGGAATACTATTGTGCTATAAGAAATGATGAGCAGGCAGATTTCAGAAAAATCTGGAAAGATTTGCATGGGCTGATGCAAAATGAAATGTACTGTGTACAAAGTGAACAGCAATATTTTAAGATGATAAAAATAGAACTGGGTAGCAGAGTGGATTAAGAACCATAATCCTATAATATGCTGTTTAAAAACCTGGGAAAACTTACATGAACAGAACCAGGAGAACATTGTACACAGTAACAGCAAGTTCATGTGATGACTGACTTTGATAGACTTAGCCCTTCTCAACAATGCAAGGATCTAAGACAATTCCAAAAGACTCATGATGGAAGATGCTATCCACATCCAGAGAAAGAACTATGGAGTATGAATGAAGATCAAAGCATACCATTTTCTCTCTTTTTCTTTCTTTTTGTTCTTTCTTTCTCTTGGTTTTTCCCTTTTGTTCTGATTATTCTTTCACAATGTGACTAATGTAGAAATATGTTTTAAGATGATTGTGATGATTGTACATGTATAGCCTATATCAGACTGCATGCCATCTTGGGAAGGGAGGAGAGGAGGAAGGGAAGAAAAATTTAGAACTCAAAATCTTATAAAAATGAATGTTGAAGACTAAAAATAAATTAATTTTTTTAAAAGAAAGAGCTGGGTTTCAATCTTCACTCCTGGACGAAGTAATAATACTGATGATGATAGTAGTCGTGGTAGTAATAATAATAATAATAGCTAGCATTTGTATATCACTTTAGAACTTGCAAAGTACTTTATATATGTTCTTTTATCCCATCTTCATAGCAGCCTTCCCATAGTTGGTTATCTTCAGTTTAACCAGTGTATATCTTATTTGTATGTAGCTATTTGCGTGTTACTTCTCTCATTAGATCCTGAGCTCCTTTGAGGGCAGAATCTGTCTTTTGCCTTTCTTTGCATCTCCAGTGTTTAACACAGTACTTGGCATATAGTAGATGCTTAATAAATGTTTATTGACTGACTGAACAATCCTGTGAGGTAGGTGGTATTGTAATCTCTATTTTATAGATGAAGGAGCTGAGAGAGGCACAAGTTAAGAGACTTACCCAAGGTCTTACATCTATTAAGTGTCTGAGGGAGAATTTGAACTCATACTTCCTGACTTTTTCTGTCATTCTGCCCAAGTTATTGCAGAAGAGTAAGAAGGCTGCATAGTGCTGAAGGCCATTTTGTATTTTATTTGTTTCATGGGCTGCTAGTCAAATACTTAATCACCAAGTAGCCAGTCTACTGCCAATAATCTTTCCATGCTTAGCTAGGCTGGTTCATTCAAGG